CGAAAAATTAGATTGAAAGTATTTTTTTTTTCTTTATTTAGTTTAGCGAAAAAATACAATTATTTGATATATACAGTATATGTACATTTTTTTTTGTGATATTATTTAATAAATAAATAATAACGAAGTTTCTTTACGCCGAAGTCCGACAAATAATCATATTTAACTCATTTTGGCTTAAAATCAGGTAAAATTCCCCAAAAATATATTTAAATAAATGTGTTGCGAATGAAAAATGTATATTAATGAATAATATATTCAAATAAATTACCAGATCACGATAACAATTCTTACGTCTTCTATAAAAGTTACCTTTTAGATCATTTCGAGGAGTACCACCATCACCCATATTTTTCTCCGACCCAGATTTCGTTAGTATTAATCTTATTGTAAGTACGCATTATATTTCACAAGTTTAAAAAAAAAATTAATACAATGCTAAATATTGTTTCGAATTTTTTTTTATTTTCCAGAATCAGCTTGTAATCTTTGGTGACGGCTTCTTCAATCAGATTAATCTGTTTGCTGTTAATCTCGGCGTTGTTTGGTATTGTCACCGGTATTTGTTGATAACATAAGTACGCGTCATTTGTGAGGCTGTGCAAATTTCACAAGGCTTATAAGGCTTAGAGTAAAATAAAAAGATATTTATACAGGTAATCTACGCTCATATTTTCTCTTACTTTTTGCTATTATTTATTTTAAATATAAATCTTTATTGAATAAAACTTTTTCTCAAAAAAATATTGATCATCTCCGCAAAATTCTAGTTTCCAATAATATTATTCTTTATCTCACATTATTCGTTATTATAATTCTAAAAACAATTCGTTACAAATTATTTGATTCCTTTGAAACTTAACACAAATTCTATTACTTATTCCATTTACACTCCATTCCATTCAGTGCACTGAATTTTACACTCCATTTAGTGTACTGAATTTTACACTCCATTTAATTTTATACTCTATTTAATTTATACTCCATCAACTTAATGAACCTTACCTTACCCAATCCTAACTCTAAAATGTATTTACTACACACGTCACCATGGTTCATTAATATCACTATCCCTAATAATCAAGTATTCCACTCATCAAAAATCCTCTACCCTCTTTCAATGAGTGAGTTTTACAAAACAAAATCCAATACTAAAAATTCTCTGGAAAAAACAAGTATATTGAATTTTTTTCCAAAATTCTTTAAAAGATTATCAAAATTGGGATTGTATAGAATTTAAAAATCCTATTAGTATTTTTCAACTTTTACCTGATAATACTATTTAAAATTATTGGTAAAAGAATTATTTATACAAATACTTTCCACTAAATTTAGAATATTTTGGTTGAATTTATTTCGAAAGTCAATTAAAGACTTACGAGTTTTTTCTAAATGGCTTCTAGCTTCACTAGTATAAATTTTAAACTGAAAAATTTTCACAACCAAATCATCGAGTGCTTCACTACTCGGATTCCTCGCTCATAAAAATAAGCACTTTACCGATTTATTTTGATAAATATTATGATTAGATAATATTATAAATAGATATACACTTTTAAAGTTAATATTGAATTATTATGTCCTAAATGCAAAATAATTCTCTTATTATTGGACATCATTTTTTTGATTTCCAAATTCCAATACATTTTATACACTTATTATTTCAAATTATCATATTTGTAATTATTAAGAAAAATGACAATATTGAAATTCTGTTACATCATCTAAATTACAAAATGTTAACTAGCACTACCACACAAAAAATATGTCTACACCCACCACTCTAAGTACTCAAGTGAAGGGGGATACTCTCGAATATGAAGTATTTATACTCTTATTATTTCAAATTATCATATTTGTAATTATTAAGAAAAATGACAATATTGAAATTCTGTTTATTGTATTATATATCATAATTTAATAAAAAAATTTAAACACTATTTAATTAACATTATAAATGTCATCTGAAAAATATCATACTTCTAAAATAGAAATGAAAGATATTTAATATTAGATAATATATAAACAATACTTTACATAATATAGTTATAAAAACTTAAAACTTCATTAGTTCATTTATATAACAAATAAATAAAATTCATAATTATATATACAAATTAAGTGAACCAGAATATGAACATATAATTTTTAATAAATTAAAAGGAATTAGGATAAAAAGATATATATGAAAAAGGGAATAGAATATAATTTACAACTATGAATTTTCTCATATATATTTATAATTTCCTTATAACATTATTGATAACAAAATCCACGAACCAATACAATAAAATTATATTGTTGATATAAATTTATAAAAAAAAATTGTTAAAACTTGTAATTAATTATTAAGAAAAAACGGTCAGAACTTTTAGATGACATGTTTTTTTCATAAAAAAATTATAAGAAGGCCAAAAATTTTTTTTAATAAAGCAAGTAATACATAATAAATATCATCCAATACATGTGTATTTTTTCATAGATTTGGATTTTTAATTTGCATAATTCTTGCAAAAGCTTGAAAGCATTAAAGTACACATTTGAATAATTACAGCAAGACTGCTAGTACACCTGGAGGTTTAGCAAAGATGTAAGGGCAAAACATGACAAACCCATATTAAAGTCATTAAAAATTGGCAAAACTTGACGACATAAATTATGCTGCGCTTTTGGGGTCACATGATCGCAGCAATTTGTATACTGGTTGCTTAGGTGACGACCATAGCGTCTTTTTCAAAGGCAACAGACCTCAAACGAAATGAAAATACCTAATTGGCTAAAGGAGAAGTCTGCTTGTAAAATTTACTGAATGTAAATTACAATTTACAAAATATATAACAGAATTTGTACAATCAAGCGACGTTATTCGTCAACTTCTGTGATGTAAAAATGTCCATGTTCACATTCCTCCTCATATATTTGCGACTCAGTTATCAAGAAAGTAGGGGTGGGGTAAGTGAGTATAATTGTTATAAAAACGAACGAAGATACCACGCATAAAAGAAGTATCAATCATTTGTTAAAGATTGAGGAGATTACACAAATGGATATACTTGGGACTTTACAAACGTGAAAGTGAAGAATTATATTATTAATAAATGATATAAGTGATAAACCATATTAAACTCTTAAATGACTTAATATCTATACTTTTGTTAAATAAATTACTCATAGATTATTATTTAGCTTTTATTTCATATTTTTAAACAATTTATAGAAATCATGTAAAACATATTATTTACCATATAACAAAAGTTAATATTTTATTTATACCAATTAACCAATTACAATACATATTAAAATGTTTCATCATAAAAACCTGTAATTTTGAATTTTTTAATAACTCCTAATCTAATATATTTTTCAATTATTTTAGTATTTTCAATATTTACTTCATTCACATCTATACCATTATTAATAACCATCAAAGAAAGTGATTTTTTTGATGTACGATTTTTCCAATTTATAAAAAATGATTCTAATTCTTCCGGAAGTAATTTTGATTTCATACAATCTAAATAATTTAATTTTATTTCATAAACACTTTTAGGTGAATATTTTATAATCATTTCCATCGCCTTTTTTTCATTTAAAAATAATCCTCCAACCCAAATTTTAATACTTTCTAAATTTTGACATCCAATAAAAACTTCTTTTAACGTTTCCAATTCATCATTTTTAAATCCAGTGGAAAGTTTGATAAGATTTGAACAATAATTTGCTATTGCTAAATTTAATGAATTATTACTTTCACCTATAATATCTCCTATATAAAATTCTTTTAAATTATTTCCATTAATTTCCAAGAAATTTATTAATAATTCATAATTTGGACTTGCATATTGAATCTTTAAAATTTGTAATTTTGAAAATTTAACATATTGTAATATTTTAAAATCTTCAAATGTTTTATTAGAATAAAATAATAAGAAAAGTTCTTTTAAATTGGTGAATTTGGTTATAAATGATAATGGTATAAAATGTATTCCTCCATCAAGTATTAATTTATTTAAAGTATTAGGAAATTTTTTTAATAAAGTAATTATATCTGTTAAATCTTTACTTGTTTTATTACTACCATATGATAATATTATATCTAAATATTTCAATTTTTGTTGAACTGAAATTAATTCTGTTAATCCATTTGATATGATCGTTTTTTTAAAATCTATTGTAAAATATTGAATTTTATTACTTATTTTTGATAATTGATAAAAAAATTCATTATTAATATCTGATCGACAATATAATTCTGTTAAATTCTTTAAACATTCTTTTGCTCCAGGATATTTATAAAATGTTATATTTGTTAATTGTAAGAATGATAATTCTTTTAATGAAGTAATTTCTTTCATATATAATTTAAATATTTCTTGTAATAATATTTGTACTTTCTTATTTAAATTTTGTGTTGAAATATTTGGTTGTTGTTTTTTAAGAAATAATCCAACTCGATAATTAATTTGATTGATTGATAAAACTTTACAAAATGCTGCATAATTAAACATTGGAGATTTTAATATTGAATTTGAAATAATAATTTCATTATTATATAAAATTTCTTTTGATTCATTTGGAAGACATGAAATTATTGTATAATAAGTTTTATTATTATAATTCCAAATACTTTTCCATAAAATTCTCACGGAAATTTCACACCAAAGTCGATTAACTAATAAGCATGAATATAAACTAATTCTATCTTCTTTTAAATATTTTAAAATTTCATTAAGACAATCTGCAAGAAGTTGTGGCATTTTATATTATTACGATATTTTTAATATTTTTAAAAAAAGTTATCGTTAAAAATGATGGGAAAAAAAGAAAATTTGAAATAAGCAACGACGAATCGTTGCATTTAAATTTACGTCTGTGTGAACAAGTTAAACTATTTATGGTTAATTAACTTACGTATTAATGTTACCATATTATACTAAATTTGGTAATAATTTGCCTACCAACTATTATTTATAAGAAATTTAATTCCTTAATATGGTAATAAACTAACCGCATGCTGAACTTGCCTCCAGCTAGCTATAATTATTTAGAATAAGTTGATCGTTACACGGGAACAGTTAAATCATGAGAACTTTTCGCTCGGTCGTTACACGGGTACAGACGTACAGTTAAATCATGAGTATGAATTAAATTTTGTACGTGTCGAAAAATTATACGAGTTATTGTCTTTTTACTCGGTCGAGCTCTTTTAATTGTAGGCTAAAAATCATATATTAAAGTAAATGTCGAAAAATTGGATAGATTTATTACTCGAGTTGACGTTATTTATTAATATAAATCGTTAGAAATTGAACAAATAATGTTCAATTTTATAAAGAATAAAATGCAAACATTTAAAGGGGAACCATATCAATCTCACAATCAACTTCATAACGCAACATTCCCTTATCTAATTCTTCCTCGACTACTAATAGAATGTTATCTTGTGTTATTTTTATTTCTACAACCTCAACGGGTGAGTTAATATTAATTAGTTTGATTTGATGGCCAAAAAGTTCGATTCCTTTTTCCAATAAAAGCTGCATTTGTCATAAATTGAAAAAAAAGTTAACAATATATCCATATCAAAACATTTCCATCATTTTGCGTTAATTAAAATAAATACATTTTTTGTTGGTTCATCAACAACTCTTTGGCTCTTTGGAATAAAAATGTCCGGATTAAGTTCACATTTAGACTTGAATCGCTCTGGCCTAATTAATAAAACAAGGTGAAATGAGCATTCTTATAAGCTTATAATTTTCATTTTATAAATACTTACAAAGGAACAAACCATTCTTTACCAGCACTATGAGGTGCATTTTCTTTTTTTATATCATTAAAATAAATATTGTCTAACGCCCTATCGTATTTTTCCAAATCATACCTGTAAGAAAAAAAGTGACGTTAATAAAGTAATAAAGGTATAAAGTATAAAGCGAATCTTTTTACTTTATTGGATCAAAATTTTTTTTGCATTTCTCTGGGTCCAGATATGATTTTCCCTTTTCGTCGGTACTCAAGCAAGCATAATAATTGGCAGGTTTAAATTGTTCCGGTCTAATATATATATACAAAACAAGGTGAACATCAGTATTTTGTATGAGCCTACGATTTCACTTTTGTAAATTTATTGTGCAAAACTTACAAAGCAGCAAACCATTCTTCACTTACAGCACGGGCTCCCTTTTCCTTTTTAATTTTATTAAATAATTCATCGATTAACAAAATTCTATCATATTGCTCTCTAGCTGTTCTGTAGAAAGGGTAACGTTAATAAATAATAACGTGAAAAAGGTATATAATGTTAATTAATTCGCTTACTTTATTGGATCAAAGTTTATAGCATTGCATTTCTTTGGGTCCAAAATAGAATCTCCATATTCGGTGGTAATCAAACAGGAATTGTAAATTTCGCATGCATCATGGTAGTCTTTGGCAATACTTCCAAAGTCTTTTTTTGCAGGGAAAATTAATACAACAACACGTTCGAACATTGTACAGTAGTTATTAAAATGGCTCATACTTACTAGGCGTTTCTTGTTCGTAATTTCCTTGGTTTACTTCTATAACGTACGACATTGGCTTTGATGACAGTGATGCTTGAAAAAAAAAAATTCTAACTTTTTGATAGTTTGAAATTTATTTATAAGTTTTTTTTTTTACTTTGTTGAGAAGGAATTAGTAATGACGACTTAAATGAAATCAAATGTTAAAATTGTTTTAACATTTATTATGTTACAATTGTTAAAAGCTATAAATAAAATTAACTTTTTTTATCCCACGATTCCTAGTTAAAGAATAAAAGTCTATCATTATTATTCAAATCAAGTATATTATGCATCATTGATATCCACAGTTCCCCGTGAAATAACTATTACGTCATACAATACGAATTTTGTTTTCATTTATAGGATAAAACCAAAATACAGGTAAAAATCTCTTTGTAATACAAATTAAAAATTTTTTATTGTTAAATTTATCATCGTGAAACCCTATAAAAAATTTTTTTTTAAGAAAACCTCCGGTAAAGTGCTCATTTTTCTTTAAATAATTGAAAGAATTTCGAAAATTCACTAATCAACCATCAACCTTTGTGATATGCAGGGATCATGCTATTGTTTTACTTTTGCCGAATTAGAACGTGAAAGAAAGAAAAAAACTTTTTTAACAAACGATAAACGAATTATTTTTTTTTTAAAAAAAAAAAAAATATGGAAGAAATTTTTTAACGAACACAAAACAAACAAAAGACAATTTTTTAAAAGATTGAAATTTTTTTTTATGGCAACATTGCGAGGAAGATTCCCTGCTTTTTGTTGTACAGCGGCTTGATGACGCTACTGAAACCTTAATTAGAAGACATCGCGTTTGCCCTATACATTCCCAATGGAATAAGTAAATCGCACAAATTTTTATTTAAATTTGCGAAATGAATAGAACCCATACAGAATTATGCCAAATTATTAAGCTACTCAAAGAACAGACATGCTGGATCTTACAGATGATATAGAAAATCTTCATATTTGCCAATAATACCAAATACTTATCCTGTTAAAAAAACACATTCACGTTATCATAGAGGCATTGGTAAGTGAGTACTGAACATGAAATGAATATTTTTATTTTTTTAACAGCTGTCATTTCATTTTTTGTCTGTATTTTTATCTGTAATGTAGCTTTAATTTAATATCTTTTTCTTATAGTATACCGCTTACTGATATCAAAGAATATGTAAAAGAACTGTTAAAATATACGAGAACGCGTAATGCAAATCTCCGAAATTTTTTTATTCAATGGCCAGATGATGCCGTTCGAACTTTAATTCTGCATCGTCGGGCTTATCAGCACTTATTTTCACAACTCCAATTCATAGCCAAAGAATAAAGAAGATTTATTGACAATTCCAATCTCTATGTAGAAGGAAAATACGTCATCAGTGAGTCAAGAATTGAAAAAAATTATTGAAAGGTTCATAACTCTGATTGATGTTAGACTGAGAATCTTTAATTTTCTTTATGAATTTACTCTATACCATAAAAGAGCAAAGAATATAGTGCATTACATGATATTAATTATTATCCCAGTCTGATTATTAATGAATTACTGGAATTCTTGAACAAGTTTAATTTACTTACCATCATCCAACTGATGGCAATAATTTGTTGTACCAATGATATTTCAGTAAATAAAAAGTACGTATACTTGAATATCTTCTATGGTTGCCATAAGCAATAATTATTATATTTTGAATTACAACCATAGTAGTTATAAGATTATAAATGTAAATTATAAATTGACTGAAACTACGCTATTGTGGTTACCTAAAAGATAGCATTATAATTACTTGACCTTTAGTCTTTTCACCTATTTATGGTAACCAACACTACAAAACACGGGTTCAACAAATATGAAATCTGTATAGAAATTTTGAATATAAACTATCTTCTTATGATTTTGATTATAATGAGTAATGAAGGAGCATCCAGTCACAAATTCTACCATTCTTGATGGTGATATGATTTTTCATCTGATATTTAGCAAGAAATCCAACATATATATTCTAACACAAATTCAAAAAAAGACTGGATTAACAATTCATATAGAACCAATTTTATCTGCCTTAGATAATCTACAAGAATATCTGATAGATTCTCCAAACAATTATGATATACATTTTTTTGAGGAACTATCAGATGAATTTTGTACATGAGTAATTGATATTTATGATGATCAAATATGGAAAATATTCAAAGAAACAAACTGACCAACTATAATTTGAATTCAGAATTTAAGCCATTACTAGAAATTATACTACTGCAACAAATGAGGAATTTATTTGGTTAAGATGGAACATCAAGATGTGAATTTGTTCATGTGATTTTTAATTAAAAAACAAAGGTGGAATAATTGTGACTATTGGCTACTAATAAAAAAAACAGAAAGTTAAACTAAAAGCGGAAACAGGCCAAAGAATTTGAGAAGCACAATTAAATAGCGGCCTAGAGAATATATGAATACCAACACTTGATAGTAAAATGATTAGAAATAAATATGAGAAAATGAGGACTAAATATCTTAGGTTTGGAAGTGAACTTTACTCAATTTTCACATCTTTAAATAATATTTGTTACTTACAATTTGGAGAACATGCCATTTAATATGAGAAAACAATTTAAAGACCACTTTATACTCGGATTTGTTCCATTTGGAGACAATTTTAATAAATTTATTCAACCATACAGTCATTTTTTGTTATGGGTGTATTTTATTATTTGCATAAATTACATGAAATAAACATTTGAGAAATCAATAGTATATAATGCCATAAACCATGAAAAAGGATACTACGTATAGGGCATATATATGATTTGACAAAGTGATTATTAGAATAATAAGTCTTTTTTTTATTTACAGTAGCTTTAATGTTGTTATTAATAAAACAATTTTCTAAAAAAAATAAAAATCTATTTCGCTAAAAAAAAAAAAAAATTGATTCAATTAAATTATAGTGAAACCAATTTCAAGGTCGAAGTGTTTCAACTTTTAAGAGCCTATATCTGAAACAAAACCTTCGAAACATTTTTGATATAATAAGATTAGCCAATCAAAAGTATTTTAAGCTGATTGACAATTAATTACGATGTTACTTTAAAATTTTTATCAAAAGCTTTTAAAATAAATTGTAAATAATTATAATAATTATTAAATTATACTACAGTAAAAACGTGATCAACGCGTTTAGCAAATACAAATATTTATAAAATCGCTATCTGATGACTGCAAGGCCAACGTACTTACGTACGCCTATAAGTCACGTGATAAATATTACAAACTAAAGGATGCATCTTAAAATTGCATTTGGGACTCGTGGGTAAAGTTCTGAATCGCTAGATATTTTTAAAATCAAAATTAAAAAAAAAGGAAAACCATGTAATGCGTTAAAACCCTTAAAGGCAAAAAAAGTCTACTATTGCTTTTCAAACTCTGCTCCTAAAAAATAAACCTATCAAGATTACTCAGTTGTATGTATCAAGAAATTTAAACATTATGTTTTGCATATCTTTTCAATATTATCTACATTACTAATACATCTTAGTTACAAGTCTAAGATTGATTTTATAAAGATGAATCTAGCGAAAATAATATTTTTTTAATTAGTAAAGCATTTCTTTATTAATAAATAAAAAAAATTTACAGATCAATAGAAATACCATAATCTTAATCTTTATAACTAATCTAATTATTTACAAAAGCTATCTATATCTATTTCTATTGAATCTGAAAAATAACTAAGGACTACTAAATGTATAAACGTAAAACTACTCTTACTTATAACCTTTCTTATTAAACTTCATCTTCTTACGTATGTTCAGTTGTTATCCCTCTTTTCTATGTCCCTCAGAAGCCGATTGGTACAAGTTTCGTTTTTTTCATGTTAGTATAATCGATAAACTCCTCTTTACTTTCTGCTTCTACTGCTCCTTACCCGGTGTAACCCTGGATCTGGCGTGCGCAAAAACTAACAAAGATAATATAAATGGTGATTCTATTCATATAGATATGGACAAATAATAATAGTACACTATCCAGAAATAAGAAATTTTAATGATGATAATACACAAATCAGCTTAAAAAATAACCATAATAAGTAATTATTTCTAAACAAGGGTGTTACATGCATATTAATTTGATATTTAATGAAATAAAATCATCAATTGTCTCTATAAATATTTTGATAAAATTGTGTCATAAATACAACAAATGTTATACAAATAATATATTCAAATTGTTTTATTTGATTTAAAGGAGGTCTCTCTAGTTTATAAAGGAACAGATTCGTTGTTAAAAAAAAGATCTTTGATATTCACATTGTTTTTTTGATTTAAAGGGGTTCTCTAATTATTAAGGAACAAATTCATTGTCGATAAATATATATATATAGTATCTCAATCTTTAAGAAAATTGTTTATTTTTTGTAAAAATTCCAAAAATTCCAAAAATTATTTTTTCATGAAAAATTTAAAATGTTTAACATATCGTCAGGATTAAGGTTGTCAAACTTTTGATCATTAATAACATATCCAGCTTTTAATGGACTTGACTGAAGTTGAGAGAAACTTCTATAAAGTTCTTAACAACGAACAAAAAAAACTTTTTCTAATTACAGCAAGAAAAGTGAAACTGATACTGTGAACAAAGATAGAAAAAAAAAGAAGTATGTTATTAAAAATATATATATTTTTTTTTTATATTTACTATTATTAAAGTTTACTTATATTTTATTGCTCTTTTTTCTCGTTTTTTTTTGTTCATTCTATAAAAAAAACTAGAGAAGCAGCATACACTTCCTCAAACTTTCTCGACATACCTGCTGCGAGAAAGATTTGTGGTCACGTTTCTGCATTGGTTTCTTGTCATCGATGTCAGAAAAAAGCAAATTACGAGAACCATCAGCATAATTTTGCCTCATTAACATTCGACATCCTGGTCTTCCTAATGATAATCCAGAGTACTGTGCTGATAGTCATTGGATAAACGTATATTGCCAGGAGAATTGGAAGTCTGTGGAATGGGTCAAAATTTCTCTCTCTAAAAAAACACTTCTTTAAAAATCTTTACAGATTTATACATTTATTTGCAATAGCATATCTGACGATAACTAATACTCCAAATATATATCTCCATATTATTGGTCATTCTGCACTATTACTATTTTCTTTAGTTGGGGTTTAAAATAAGATTTTATAAACGCATTCCCTTGAATCAGCGTAGGCATAGAGTTCTTTAATGCTTTATTATCAAAATATTAAATAAAAAAATTGGTACATTTTATTTATTTATTTATGTATAATGGTAATCACCAAGTACAGTCCCAATAGATACAATAAAGTCGAAACTTGAAACATTCCGCCTAAGCCACACTTTGGTGATGGTCTACCTAATCGTTGGTTAAACCTTTGCAGAGCACGACCCAATCGACCCATGTAACCAAAAATTACCTATGAAAAATAAACAAATTGCGGTTAAAATTCATCAAATTTTTGTAAATTAATTTGTGTATACATATTTTTTTTAAAGTTTAAATTTTTAAAAAAATCATCGAAAATTTTAATTAGTTCACAAGTAGAATGAATATCTTGACAACCAGTAATTCAAATTTGATAAAATTTTGACAAGTTATAGTATAGCTTACAAAAATCATGATGCCCGATCATGGAATTTCTCAGAAATCAGTCAAATCACGACAAATGTTTTATAGATTTAGATTCATTCTATGAAATAAAAATATAAATTATAAGAAATATACTAACCGCAATTTTTCTTAACACACTGTATATGAGTTAGGGGTAAAGCTACCAACTAAAGCGTAAGGGAAAAATGACATTTGAAGAAACGAATAAAATAAAAAAAAATAACTATATACATAAAAAAAGAAATACATACAATCTTCGCTACTCCTTATTTACTTCAGTCTTGTCAAGAGGATCTACATAGTATCGTGTTCCTTTCTTCTTACTACCAGACTTGGAAACGTTCTTTTGGAGGAAGGAGACTTCTTCGATTTATTTTCTCCGACGCCCTTTGAATTGAATTGGGTTTTTTCGACAACCGTTCCGTAGATGCAACGATTTCCTACTTCTTTGACGCTTCGGACGAGACAAATTAAAGTTTTTTCGTATGAAAATTGAGTTTCTAATGCATATTATAATCATATTTCTCGAAGTACTCAATTAACAAATTCTGGCCCTTAGCGTTCTTGTTAAGTCTGTAACTTTTAACGTGAATTCAATAAATCTCGTGAGGTTTTTTCCGACTCCAAAGTTGGAGGTCACGCATACCTACTTTTCACGATATTTGTACATCGATACCGGAATGATCAACATCACATGATCGCACCACGGCAAATATTAGGCGTTGAAATACTTTATCAGTTCAGTTGGCTTTACCAGGCTTTACTGTTCTATCACATAAATACACTCTTCCGAATACTAAGTTCACTTCCACAGTGCAACCAAGGTAAGTGCCTATAAGGTATTGTTTAAGAGTCATTGTATCAAATTAAAACGCGTCTTTGAATAAAACGCAAATTATAAATTTTTTAGGTGACCAAAAATGTATTTTTAAATTTTCTTTTACCCTTCCTGCAATAGCGCCTTTCAAAGAAAAGTATTAATACAATTAATTCAAGTGAAAGTGTGAAACTAATTCAAGTGAAACTAATTTGGATAATTCAAATGAAGATGATTTTGATACATCAAATGGAAATAATATTGACTTAACTGAATTTGATGAGCCAAGTGAAAAATCTGAGTCATCTCTCAATTTGATAATTAAACCTTCTACCGGTTCAGCATCACAATCTAAATAGTTAGAAATAGAAGTATCATCAATAGATGATATTCTTGCTGATGTTCACCATTATGTTGGAAAACTAACTGGTGACAAAGGGATCATACCTTCAGATTATTTGGTTTCATTTAAACCAGAAGAATCTACAGGAGTTGGAGCACAATTAGTTGATTTATAAGATTATAAAAATTTCTCTCTGGTTAGAAGATGAAAAGAAAATATGGTTATTTTAGTATCTTTGAAGAAGGAGAAAAAACAAAAGCGAAAGGTAAAGTTATTTATTGTGTAAAATAAACTCTGAATTATTATGCTTATACTTATCTTTCTAGGAAATGTCTGCTTCTGAAGAATAAGAAAACGATAACATCAAATTACACAAAAGAAAATTTTGATTCCAAAATTGAATAATTTCCTACTATTTTGCAAGAAGAAGGATAATTTGTGAATTAAGGGACAATACGAATGCAGCCAACATAATGCATCGTGTTTTGTCTATGATGGAAGACATAAAAAACAATGCATTTTCAATGTTGGGCGAAAGAAATTGTAATTTTTATTTTTCTATTAATTATATTATTTTATTGTCAACAAAGTAACTTATTAAATTTAAATTATTTTATTTTATTTTTAGATTATAAGTACTACAGATAATACCCAACCACCAGATTTACCTTTTCACGATTTAACGGTACTAAAAGTAATTCTACCAAAATGGTCCACGTCTATAATTTCGAACTCTAGTCCTAATGCAACACCAATATTTTTTGCTATTACACCTTAAATGGTTTCTTTGTACAAAATTCCAATGTAGGTAATTCTTCAAGTTTACTATTATCTTCACCAAAACAAGCATTTCCATCTCTTGATGAAGTTTATACTAATCAGATAATACTTGAGAATTTGCGCAACTTAAAAGCATATTTGAAGTTGAACAGATTACTGTGGATCAAATTTCATTGTCTTACAGCGAAATCGATCAATTGGGGGTAAAAAAAAAAAAAAATTGGGTGCGCAAATCATTTAGAACTCTACTATTATTTAGTGTTTATAGCAATATTATGTACTAGCAACGTATTCGTATTATATATGCAAAATAATCTGTATTTCTATAATTGGTAATGTACATGATTTTTGTGAAATGATTAAAAATTTTATTAGATCGCGTAAATTATACAAATTTTTAAAGTAAACAATTTTATTTTAAAATTTATTTATCTAAATCTAGCATGATTATATTACATATAAATTGAATTCTTGAAAAAATTCGCAGCCAATTGTGAAATAATTTAAGAATATGCTACTAAAAGAGGATGTTTGGGATCATTACATGAATGATCGAAATCTAAAATCAGGGAAATGGGGTAAAATTCAACATGGCCCCAATGTATTCTATAAGATCCTGATCATGATGATCAAGCACAAGAACACTTTGTTCTGCAAGATACGAATAAAGAAAAAATATGAGTAAACAAAAATAATATAATAAAGATACATAATCGAAAATTTCATATTTGAAATAATATAATTCCTTAAATTTTTTTGTGCAACTACCATTCACAGCACCAATACCTTGTAAAAACAAAGCAGGTAGTAATATTGTACTTTATTCCACGCACAAATACATTTTTTTAAATCGCAGAAGCATTTTTTAAAGAACAACGATATCTATGAGATAAAGTACGTTCATCTTTAGAAGCTTAATCCAAAAATATAAGCTGTTCAAGCCCAATTTTTGCAATAAACGTGCTCCTAAGAAGCTCGTTTCATTCTTAAGCTGCTCGATGTAACTGTATAATTGTAAATATATTAGAAATCAAAAATTTAATAATAGAAATACAGAATACATAATTTATATAATTTGTAACTTACTTTTTTATACTAATCAGTAATCCCACAATATACTAAAGACCCCAAAAGAATTAGGAATGATATAAAGTTTCCGTCTGTAACTCAAGTTCTCCTACTAGTTCGTCTAAATAAGTCTACTTTGACTAAATCTCCGTAAGATCTAAATTGATAACAAAATTAGTAACAAATAAAAATATGGTTATCCTCTTATTTATAAATAAATACCTTCGTATCATCACAGGTTAGTATTTTATTACGACCCGGTGGTTCATAAAATAATTTGTACTTTGATATAAAGCTAAGACAATAGCAAAATCCAAAAATGAAAGCTAAATGTACTAATAGCTATTCAACTTTAAGAGATCTTTACACTTCTTTATCCAAATGCCTTATGCCTTAAGCGAAGACCTAAAGTGGAGGATTATTTACCTTTATTTTGATGGTTATAGTCGAAAAAGTATATATATTTGCGGAAGCAGAGTTAAAATATATTTACAAGGGGGAGCTGGGATTCAAATCTTATTTGCTAATTTCAAGGGTTTTTATCATCAAATGATCGACGCTGCGTATACGCGATAATCAACCTTCAATAATGATTGGCAATGAGTAAACAATTCGATATTTTTAATTTAAAAAATCATATGTTGCATAATTACATAATTGTAATATTTAATGGTGTCATAGTATAAAACCTCGCGCATATTAATTTAATACACAATTAATAATCCCGAGATTGTGATATTTTTTAAACAAAGGCGCCTGATCAAAACCTGTTATATAAACAATATATAGTAGAATATTCACTTTTTTTTTTTGATTTAAAGTTAGGTTTTTAAGGAATAGATTTGTTGTTAAAATAAACAATATTTAAATAATCTTTCATATATAGTATCTCAATCTTTAAGAAAATTATTTATTTTTTCGTAAAAACAAAAGATTTAATGTCTAAAAACTCGCAATGTAAGTTATCAAATTTAGGGCAGGATTAAGGTTGTCAAAATTTTGATCATTAATAATATATTCTTATTAGCTTCACCTCCCGTTGCGGGAGAATTGATTGGTGCTGAACAAAGTGGGTCTAATAACAGATTTATTGAAGAACCACCATTTCTAACTCCTAAACAAGTTAAGAAGTTCTTAAGTTTTCTGACTAAAGAAGAAATGGCCGTCTATGAAACTCTTACCGACGAACAAAAAACGTTTTATTTAAATGTATTAAAAAGGGCGCAAGCTGAGGGTAAAGCAGAATATAGAAAAACAGGAAAAGTATGTTATTAATATATATATATTATATTTTTTTTACTATTATGAAGGTTTACTAATATTTATTGCTTAATAGAATATGTTCATTCGTTTTTTCCGTAGATTCTATAGAAAAGACTAGGGACGCGAGAGTCATGTTATTGATAGGTTAATAGTAATTGTGTAAAACGATAAAAACAGTGAAATCAAATATATTTTATCTTTATTTTAAATCAAATTAAAATATAACTCGATTATCGTGTTACTAGTTACATTCTTTCAATTAAAAAATAAAGCTGGTTTTTTGCTTAAAAGCGCGTTAAAGTTGTCTCTTAACAAAACGGATAAACTTTTAAATGGTTTAATTATCATAAAGAAATGAGGTAAAATATACTTATTCAACCGTCGGTATATTTAAAAGATAAAGTTTGTTTTTCCGTTGGTTTCCGGGAGATGCAACGACGTCTCAGATCAAATTAATACATAAATAAATTTATTAAGAAAGGCTCCCTCAGTAAAGTGTTAAATTTAAATAGAAAATGGGTACTCTTTGCGTATTTTAATAGTCAAGAAGACCGGAGGATGCTTGGATAATCACAAAAAGATAGATAAATTGGAAAAAAGAAGTCAAGTATCTGATGATCGACTTTCGATAACGGACGAATTAAAGAATTGGGGAATTTCCAGAGAAGAGTGGAATTCAACAAACGAGCGTAATAAATTAGAAGAACGAGTTAAAGAATTTAGTTTGCCAGACAAAGAATTCACGGAACGACTTCCTTCAAGAGTAGAAGATCAAGATATCAATAAAATAGGTAATAAAAGTGTAAGTGAAACAAAAGAGAGATGATAGAGAAAAATTTCAAGGACGATTGTTAGCTAGTTTAGGTTAGATAGAAAAATTTAGTATTCGTCTTACCGTTTAACATTAGTTATTATCGAAATGTATTGCGGCAATTATGAAAAAAAAAATTATCATAAAGAAATTAGGTTACACAGCTAAAGAAGTGTACCATCAATTAATTAAATCAAACTTATTGTAAAGTATCATATAAAAAATTATTATGAATGATTTTTTTTGACAATTCTGCCGGTTAATGGGTCAAACAGAATTTTTGTCGGATATTTTAAAATGACATTATTATTAAATGGCGGCAAAATTTTATTATTAATAATTATCATTTCATTATCTTTATCCAAATGCTTATGCCTTAAGTGAAGACCTAAAGTGAAGGATTATTTACCTTTATTTTGATGGTTGTAGTCGAAAAGAGTATCTAAATTATTCACAAGTGGGAGCCGGGATTCAAATCTTATTTGCCAATACCATTTTGAAAACGGCGAATTGGCGTTAATAATCATGTGTCAACCTTCACTCGATTGGCGATGAGTCAATTTTTAGTAACAATTCGATATTTTTAATTTTTTTAAAAAAATCATGTATTAATTATAATATTTAATGGCTGAAAGATTGTCGTCATAGTATAAAACCCCAATTTGATACACAATTAATAATCCCGAGATTGTGATATTTTTTTAAACAAAGGCGATTGATTTTGGTAAAATTGTGTCATAAAAATCATAAAAATAGAATGTCTTTATCTGCCTGATCAAAACCTGTTATACAAACAATATATAGAATATTCACTTTTTTTTTTAAAGGGGGTCTTAAGGAACAGATTCGTTGTTAAAATAAACAATATTTAAATAATCTTTCATATAGTATCTCAATCTTTAAGAAAATTATTTATTTTTCGTAAAAACAAAAGATTTAATGTCTAAAAACTCGCAATGTAAGTTATCAAATTTAGGGCAGGATTAAGGTTGTCAAAATTTGATCATTAATAATATATTCTTATTAGCTTCACCTCCCGTTGCGGGAGAATTGATTGGTCCTGAACAAAGTGGGTCAAAGAACAATAACAGATTTATTGAAGAACCACCATTTCTAACTCCTAAACAACTTAAGAAGTTCTTAAGTTTTCTGACTAAAGAAGAAATGGCCGTCTATGAAACTCTTACCGACGAACAAAAAACGTTTTATTTAAATGTATTAAAAAGGGCGCAAGCTGAGGGTAAAGCAGAATATAGAAAAACAGGAAAAGTATGTTATTAATATATATATATTATATTTTTTTTACTATTATGAAGGTTTACTAATATTTATTGCTTAATAGAATATGTTCATTCGTTTTTTCCGTAGATTCTATAGAAAAGACTAGGGACGCGAGAGTCATGTTATTGATAGGTTAATAGTAATTGTGTAAAACGATAAAAACAGTGAAATCAAATATATTTTATCTTTATTTTAAATCAAATTAAAATATAACTCGATTATCGTGTTACTAGTTACATTCTTTCAATTAAAAAATAAAGCTGGTTTTTTGCTTAAAAGCGCGTTAAAGTTGTCTCTTAACAAAACGGATAAACTTTTAAATGGTTTAATTATCATAAAGAAATGAGGTAAAATATACTTATTCAACCGTCGGTATATTTAAAAGATAAAGTTTGTTTTTCCGTTGGTTTCCGGGAGATGCAACGACGTCTCAGATCAAATTAATACATAAATAAATTTATTAAGAAAGGCTCCCTCAGTAAAGTGTTAAATTTAAATAGAAAATGGGTACTCTTTGCGTATTTTAATAGTCAAGAAGACCGGAGGATGCTTGGATAATCACAAAAAGATAGATAAATTGGAAAAAAGAAGTCAAGTATCTGATGATCGACTTTCGATAACGGACGAATTAAAGAATTGGGGAATTTCCAGGGAAGAGTGGAATTCAACAAACGAGCGTAATAAATTAGAAGAACGAGTTAAAGAATTTAGTTTGCCAGACAAAGAATTCACGGAACGACTTCCTTCAAGAGTAGAAGATCAAGATACCAATAAAATAGGTAATAAAAGTGTAAGTGAAACAAAAGAGAGATTATCGAGAAAATTTTCAAAGGACGATTGTTAGCTAGTATAGGTTAGATAGAAAAATTTAGTATCGGTTTATTTTTAGAATAAGGCATTATTGTATACATTAGTTATAGGGCATTATGTAATGTAATTATCGAAATGTGGCAATTATGATAAAAAAAAAATTATCATGAAGAAAATTAGGTTACGCAGCTAAAGTGATTCGTGAAACGTTGGGTACCATCAATTTAATTCAAAACAAATATCCGTGTGAAAAAAAAAAATTACGTTGTCGGATGTCGATCCATAGTAGTATATGAGAAAATAGAGAATATCAGCGCAGGCTAATTTTGGATTGAATAGACAACTTTCATATTGGAGGGCGCTATAGTATAGGAGTTTCTTGTATGAGGGTTAACTTGCATCTATTATAGAAGCAAATCGGTATGTTCCCAAACAACACTAGTCTTGATTTCTTTGTCATTGGCACCATTTGAATAATATAGAATAAATCACGAATAAAAAAATTACGTGTAACATAATACGATATATGTAAAATTATAAATTCATTTTACACAAATAATATATAATGCTGGTAAATAGTAATATTTTGTCTATAGTGCAATGAATAAGTGTGAAAATTTGGAAATATACTCCTTTTAATGTGATACTATTAAAATATACATTGGTAACATTACTAAACTTATTAAAATTAATAAATTTAAAAGGTAATTTAAGACTTAACCAAATATGATATTCTTTTTTTTTTTAAATCATATAGTACACTTGATGAACATTTAACAATTATAATACAAAAATTTATTAACAAAAAATTTTTTTATTGGTCAAGTATTAAATAAAATTACTATGCATCACGCTGTTTTTGGTCATTACAAATAAATTAATTATCTATAGTTAAAAATGAAATCCACCAACCTGCGAAGATTTGGTTCCGCATAATTTATTCCGGATCTTTTTATTCCCAAAGATTCTCCTTCATTTATCATCCCTGTCACATATTCTGGTTTAGCCTATAGATCGTTCATAAATGTTAATGCACAAAACGTGTAATGGAGCTATACATTATTGCATAAATTGCATAAAATATCCTGACGCATTACGTCATTTAGATTAAATATTACCCCGTATAGTATCCCCCTCTTTTTACGTGAAAAAAGTTACTTTTTCTATCGATTTTATTATTTAGAGAATCCAGATTATATGCAAATAATTTTCTGATTATTATACAAGCTTTTGAAATAATGTTGTTATAATAAAAATTTGAGTTATAGACGTGGCAGTTACAAGGCCATTTGTATCATACTATGGCCGGCACGATTCCCGACGGATGATTCCCATTTGCCTGACTGGTTTGGCCAGAGTTATACAGAGTTATATACGAACACGTGATCAACCGGCCACGTTAGCTGCGGGAAACGGTCCGTAAGCGGGATATATGTTTTGACACGTGAGTATGTTGATGAGCTAGTAGGGTTTCTTGACGTATTCAAGTGTACATTTGTAAATTAATGTGCTTGATATTTGTTCGTTACGTACATTTCCAATTTTGCGAAACCTTAGGCATATACAGTATAACAAAATTTAAGTAAACAAGCATTGTCAGCGTTTTTGTTTAAATTATTTATAAAGACCCATAAAATATCCCTACTATCCACTACATATATATCATTACATGGCGATGCGACATATTAAATTATAAAATCGGACCTTTTCTCGAATGTCATTTCACAAATATATCATTTCCAAAAATCAATTTGTTGGATACTCATTTCCCGAACTGGATCATTTCTGGAACTCCAATTTCTCGAATGCCAATTCCCTAAATCTTAATTTTCCTGAAGTCCGATTCCCCGAATCAATATTATAAAAATTGGAGTTTCGGGAAATGATCCAGTTCAGGAAATGGCCAATCGGAAAACTTCATACGATTGTAACCATAATATAATACATTATATACCTACGTAGTAATAACAAATACTTAGATAATAAAGATAATAGTATATCCTTTAAATGTAAGAAAGTCAATTTCTTGGTTTAATTTCAACTAAAAATTCGACACAAAAAACTGTAACACCGATACCCATAGTTTTAGGAAAGTCCATATCTACTAAATTAATTTCATATTTTCTGAATAATAAAGCTATCAAACAAACTAATTCAATCATTGTAAGCTTATTTCCTGGGCATAATCTTAGTCCTCCACCAAACATGATAAAAGAATTCTTCTTTGGTTCAAAATTTTCGTCCATCCATCTATCAGGGTTAAATTTATTAGGTTCTTCCCAATAATCTTCATTATTATGAATAGCTTTAATATTAATTAGAAATGGTGTGTCAGCTGGCCATTGATATCCTGCTATTTCATCGGGTTTATCAATACATCTTGCACATATATGCATTACTGGGAGAATACGAGCTACTTCTTTTACAATTGCTTCACAATATTTTAAACTATAATAATCATCTTTAGTAATTGGTCGCATTTTATCACCTTGAAATATACTATCAATTTCTTCTACCATTTTCTTTTTCACTTCTGGATTATGTGCAATATAATAGACAATGAATAAAAACATATTCGCAGACTAACAAGGGAAGTTAAATATAATATCAAGTTAAAAATTAACAGTGTAAAAAAAGCCTAAAATTAGGATTTCTCTTATCTTATGAGTTCCAGTAATAATTCCTTCAAGTAAATTAACGCGAATTTCACTATCAGTCATAGATCTGTTGGCTTCACCAGTTTCGAAATAATTATCATCACGTGGTGTATTTTTGATAATCATCGATGTCAACATATCATGCGGTAAGGATTCATCCAATGATGTATTATCAATTTCATTTCTACGTCTCTTAATAATTGCATCCAGTCTTTGATTAAGAAATCCCATGTTATTAAGTATATCATTTGCTTTATTTTTAAAAAATGGAATATAATTTCGTAAGAAAGAAGGAATGAATAGAAAAAATGATACCCCCAAAAGTTGTTTACGAAGTGCTTGAGCTAATTTCACAGAATCATTAATCATTGCTGATTGAGATTTTTCATCACTAAGTGTAGTAAAATAAGCCGCCATTGAATAATATTTTTCACCGGTTAACAAGCTAATAATTATATCATTTGTGAAATTATTAAACCATCCAGAAAAATCCAATTGAACTTTATTTTCTTTAATAATTTCTTCAAGAAATAATTTATTCCAATAACTTTCTAATTCATCGAAAAGTTTGTTTATCCAATCAATAGCTTCATCGGTAAATTTCGGTGATAGAATGGCTTGTGAAAAAAATTGACGATTAAATACCCATGATTTAAAATTATTATTGAACAATATTCCTTTTCCTTTAGTTCCAAATTCTTCTGGTTTTATGCTATTGTTAAATCTCATCCAATGCGCGTTTTTTTCCGAAAGAGATAAAAAATTTTCAAGATATTCTCTTCGACATAAAATTATAGATCGGTCACAATCATAAATCTCATGTATGTTACCATATTTCTCGTAACAATAATCATAAAACATTTGTGCATCTCCATAAAATAACAAATAAATTTGAGGCACATTACCAATTAATGGGAATGGGAAAGGACCGGGTAAGGGATTGACACGAGTAAAATAGTTGTAATAATAGTGTGCCACATATGTCATTAATACTGTACATATCAATAAAACATAATCATTAAATTCTAGATTTTCAAGTGGTTTAAAAATCATCATATTCTTAATTATTATTATTATTATTATTATTATTATTATTATTTTGTTGTATAAAAACTCCTTCAGAGGCTTATTTATATTTTTTTATTGTATTTAGTAATCTGCAAATTATTTTACTTACATGATCACTCCGACATAACAAGCGTTTATCTTCAAAACTTTTTCTAAATTTGATTCAAAATGTGATCGTCAATTAGCATGTGGTCAATGGGATTTTCGGATCAATTATACTAGACGGGTTCATAATGTCTTATTAACCCTTTGCAGATCTTTTTTGATAAGAATCCGTCATTATTGGATTTGACAGCCTGTCCGAAATGTGTGACAGGTTAGTGTCGATTACAACTATAATAGGAAGGAGTGATCTTTACGCGTCCCTGATCACGTGCAGCCACGAGTTATTATCTGAGGGTTAGAATTTTTTTAGTGGTCCAAAACTTATTTGTAACCCGTTATCTGTCACCGTGATCGGCCTAACCTGTCACACATTTCGGACGTGCGATTTGACACAGTTTAACTTAATGACCCATATTTTTAATTATATTTTTTTAACATTAAGAATATAATAAATATAAAAACTTTTATATATTGGAAGAATGATTTAACGTTAATTATTTATAAAAGGAGAAGTGGAAGAATGATTATAAAATCCTTTATTATGGATCTATCGTATAACGTGGCTGAAAAGTGGCCGAAATAATTCATAAAACTTATAAAACTAACCACAAACTCCGAATGTCAAAATCCCGAAAATCCTGAACCGGCCGGCATTATTTTTAATGCTGGTCAATTTTCGGGATTTTGACATTCGCATTTTGTCCCCCATCATCAGTCACAGTTTCACGAATCGTATTTTTGATATCATCGACGTTAACATATCATGAGTGAGGTGTATCATAGTCTACGGTACATGTATCAAAAAAATTATTATTATACATTTTTTCTTATTAATAGCTATTATTTATTTCGTGAATGTATCATATTCACGGAGTTTTTACAGAAATTACGGATAAAATTTTTTACCTTCATAGTACATTTTCTTTTGTGATCTCACCTTTTCAGAAATCCTTGACTGCAAATTATCATTCTTATTTTCTGTTATCGTCTTTTATTTAACGTAAATAAGTGATATTTAAATAGTAATAAATAGACAATTTGAAGTTACTCACAAACAAACATAATACGAAATCTTTTTTTTTAAAGGTTATTTAATAAATATGGGATAACTGCGACGGGGCAGTTAAATTTTATTACTTTAATATTTCTTTAGAAGTTTAAAGATTTAACGATTTATTTTAATGTATGATATTAGGCAAATAATATAATAGCATCAAGTCTTTGCTATCATTCCCGTTAAATATGAAAAATTTAATAATATCCTGGTTAAAATAATATATAACGGCAAACATGTGATGTTATTCGGCAGTCCTATAATTGACAGGGTGGTGTGGTGGACTAGGGTAGGACAGAGTAGAACTTAAAATAACAGCTAATTAAACCATGTAATTTAATCTTTTAACCGGTTAAAACTATTTTGACCACAATTCCGGTCAGATTATATAATGCGGCCCAGAGACATGTCAATTGCAGTTACGAATTCTCAAACTCAAAGTTTTAAATATGTAAGTAAATCAAAAATCGTTACAATTTTAACTTAAAAAAAAAAATTCTAAAATTTGGAAAGTTGAAACTACATAGTAATCGATTTTAGAGAATCGATTCGATTACATACAGTTCTGACTCCAAAGCAATCTCCAAATGCTAATAAAATAAGAAACTGATTTTGAAATCATTAGATAAAATCACTTAATTGGTTAACAGGTTAAAATAGTTATTCTAAATTATGGCTGGAGTTAATTTTTTTGGCTAAATCAAAGATTTTTTGCTAAAGAAATATATACTGTATATCGATATATATATATAATATCAACTGACCAAAATTAACTTTAAAATACCATTTTATAATAGATACAGAAATCTATTATACGCTTTCATTGAATGACAAATATGTTGTTTAATTATTCTTGTAACGCTTACATTTATAGATTTTTAATAAAATTGAGACGCACTTTTAGTTTAAAAAAAACATAATAAATTTTCTTGTTGATGAATAATCTAAAGAGTAACGTCTACCCTTAAAGTTTGATATTTTAAAAAATTAATTTAAATTGTTAAAACATGTAATTATTAAAATTAATTTCTTAGTAATTTAACCTAAAATACTTTTTGATATAAAATTTAATTATTTCTTATAGAACTAGTAGATTGTTTATTGCCTTGTGTAATTATTTGTTTTAAATCTTGAATCTCTTGTTGAAGTTCTCGTAATGTTAACTTTTTATCATTAGCAGATTTCTGTCCACCCTTGATAATTATCGAAGCTGGAGTACCTCTTGGCTGATGGTCCGAAGATGGAGCACTTCTTGGCTGATGATTAGTTGTATCGTTGGGTGGTTGCACTATTTCGTGCCCGTGATATTCATCATTATTATAGTAATTTCTAGCATTTCTATTTTTATTCCATTTATATAAAAAAAAACCTATAAAGGATAATGCAGCACCACCGAATAAAGATCCTACAATTGCACCAATCATAACAGTTCGTGATGATGATGAAGGTGGTACTACGCCTGATGACGATGATGTTGATGGTGGTTCTGAAGATGGTACTTTTGGCTTTGATGTTGTATCTGATGATGGTGGGGGAGCAGGTGAAGTAGGTAGTGAAGAAGAATCAAATTCATTCGTCCATATATATTCATCATTATTACTAATATCAAGTAATAAAATATCACTTTCAAGTGATGGACCCCTTCCTATTGAAAATAAAATATTTTAGTTACGCTAATTTAAATGATCCTATCTTAAAAATTTTAATTACCAAACGATATAACCATATATTTTCCAATTACATTCGCTTTATGAAACATCCGACTTTTCGGAATTTGTCCAGAAGTTTTTGGAATCCTCCATTCAAAATTATCTAAACTTAATTCATAAATTGAATCTTCGGGTGTAAGATCAGCATAATCCGTAGTAAATGGAGTACCCCCAAAAATTATTACTCTTTTATCATCCAATCCTATTAAAACGAAATTTCATTATATTTAATATGAAATGCTTTAACATTATTATATTCTTTTTCAAATACATACCAGGAACAACAGAAAGACCAACCCTACCAGAAGGTATTTTTCCTGAAGTTGTCTATATTTATTAAAGAAAACATTTGATTGTAAATTGTCCCATATTTAATTAAATAATTTATATCAACTTACTTTTGTGCTCCAACTATCATTAATTGTATTATATAAATAGACCTATATAAATAATATTATTCATTAGTTTATATAAAAAATATATATATGTATGTATTACAAGTTTTTGCAAAATTAGCTACGATAATTTACCGGATTCAATGTTAATAGTTGTTCAATATCAGTATGACCACCTAAATAAGAGTAGTTTATTATATAATATTAGAATCATAAGTCATAACAATTACAGAATAATTTGCTTACCCATATATATTATGGTATTATCAGACAATAAAGTGGCACCATATAAGGACCTTCCAGATGGTGCTCCAATTGAACTTCCCTTTCCCATGTTAAGATTTATTGTATCTAAAATAAGCATATTATTTACATAATGAAACTTTTTACTAACATCGTCACTTCCAGCCCATAAATACATTTTCCCCTTATTGTCTACAATTCCAGATAAGCTTTCCTTTCTAATAGTAATAAGATTGTCATCACCGGTTATTTTTGGAATACTCCATGAATTACTTTGCAAACTATAAGTATAAACCAAATCCATTGCACCAGTATCATTGGTTCCTCCGTATAAGATTAACGTATTATTATCTACACCACCTTTTACAGCCGCAGCACCATAATGTGGAGGAAGAATATCAATATTTGATAAATCTTTCCATATTAAATTTTGAGTATTAAATTTGTCAGGTATTTCAAGATAAAAAAAATCTTTTCCAACATCAATACGATTATTCTCACGGCCACTTAAAATATATAATTTATTGTCAATAAGCGTTGCAGTATGTTTCTCTCGTGTCTTCGGCTTATAGGGGGCAGACATTTGACAATTTATTTCAACTACTAATAATTGAACTAAAAGCCATAATGTAACATACATCAAATTCTTTTGTGACATTATTGCCCTTTCTTATTTAAATAAGTTTAAAAAAGATGAGGCTTCGAATAAAAAAAAACACATTTCGAGTGAATTACATATTTAAATTTATTACAATTGTGTTACATTCCATTTTTGAAATGGTTCTCAAATTAGAAAGTCAGAAAAAAAAAATAGAACAAAAATTGTACGATCGAAATGTCTTACTAGGACTATTGCCAGAGCGTGTGCGTAGGAAACTTCCATATTTCTGTCTTTCAGCACGCGTGCGCGTTTAGCCGTTTAGGTGTACCTCTGCTGTCGTGTAACATCCAAGGTACTGATTTGTTTATTTTTTTTAAAAACGGAAAAAAAAATCAATTTTTTTTTTTGGTAACACGCATTTCTTTATTTAAAAATATATAAAAAAAATTTGAATCTTTACGTTATATATTTTTATAAAGTCGATTAACTATAATGTTTCGGACGCTTCAACAGTTCCCGTTATCTAGTTTTAGATAAGTTACAACATAGTAGAAGTTAATTTTCTTAAATATTTAAATTTTCATAATTTGGAATTTTTAAATAAATTGAAATTGTATGATATTATTTATACACCCAGTTTAACCTTATTGGCAATTAAAAATATATTTATTTCATTATAAATATAATCACCAATTCATCATGCACTTTCAATAGTTTATTCTTTAGAGATTTTTCTTTACTTCAATTAAGTGCCTCCTATAATTATAGTGCAATCAAATCATTTATTTATTCGGTTACATTGTGGATCATAAATATCAAATATCTATTATACTAAGCAAAAATTATATTGTCGCAATGTCACACGTTACCCAAACATTACATCTACATTAACGATTTGTGTATCAATCGCTAGGATCGATATCTATATCCGCTGTAACACGACCAAAATTGTACTATACCCGATTACGTAACGCAGTGCAATAAAGAAATCTTTGTTCTTTAACTTTTTAATTTTTGAGCATGATGTATTATCCTTGTAACCTTGTAACAAAATTAACATTTTAAATATTTCAGTAGTATAAATATTATATTGTTCAGTTGTATATCTTGGTGTCGAAAAGAACTATATCTTCTTACTATCAAAATTAACGTTTTGTTTAAAAATATTTGATTGCGATGAGCCTTGGTAATTTCTTATGTTTTATAACAACTTACATCTTGCTACGAGATATCATTAGGGATGGAAAAAGTTCGGGTCGAACGACTTGAGTCGGTTCGTCCATTCGGTTTGGTACATCGGTTCCAAATCGGGTTTGATAAATTTTGATATGTACTTGAAGTAAACCAAACAGGTTTTCGGTTTGACTCGATTTTTTCAATAGTATCGGTTCGGAACCGAACCGAACCGAGCGAGTCGTCCCCATCCCTAGATATCACATACAAAACAAATTTTTTTTTTGTTAACAAGAATATTATAGAAAATAGAGAAATATTTCAATTTAATTATATGAGTATATAATATGTCACGATAAGGTGGAAACAAAAAATCATAGGAGGTTCTTTATAACTAGTATGTTTATAAACTAAGATATGCGAAATCGATCATTTAAATTAAGATAATGTTAGGACAAATTAAATTAATTTATTTTTCTTCATTGCGGAGAGCAAGGGATAAATATTTCAACAATTAAATTTCTTGATAGGTTTTTTCGCGTTACGTGATTTTCCAAAAGATGTATCTGGCTGTTAATTCGGATTGTATTTAGGTACAACCCTAAGTCTTTTGATTCAATTTGTTCAATAAAGGATTTTTTTTTTAAAAAAAAAAAAATTAGAAAAAGAAAAACATAAATTTATCGTCATTTACAGTAAATTTAAATTTATTTCCTATTTTAAGGTTGTAAAATGAACGGTCCTTACATTTTATTAATTGTTCAGGTATCACGTGAATTTATGCATTTGGATAGTAACGGGATTTGTCCTAAAAATTCTTGTAAAATAATGATAGTATTCCTTCGTCTGTAGAATGTAGACCTTTGCAGGCAAATTTGCTTGCAAAAGTTTAGACGAAGGGATAGTAAATCAAATAAATGTATATAGTTGTTGTAACTTATAATGATGTACTGTTAATAGAAACTTTAGAAATTTTTAACCGAACAAATTAATGTCGATAAATTAATAGTGGATAGATATATTAAATAAATTTAATTTAATATCGATTCATGTTGTAATATATACTTTAAGTTATATAAGGTACGAGAGAGAGAATAAGTGGGAGAGAGAAGGACTTAAAAAAGAGTAGAAAGAGAGATAGAAAGGGAGGAAGTATGAAAGAAAAATTTTATATTAAAAATATTTTATTTTTATTTTTATCTTTGTATTATAGACAAAGTCTGAGATTGTAAAACTTTACACATAACTTATGAATCTAAATTATTATTACTAATCTAATCCCCTAATGGAATCGGCTTGCCTGTTATTTACCAAGAGCATTTAAGGCTTGGCCTGCTTTCATGGATGTTCCAAAAGACAAAATACAAAATTAAGCTTATTAAAAACAAACAAAATTAAGTATTCCCGTATTATTCTTTCACTACCACTAAGTACTAACAGTGCAAGCACCACCACCACCAATAATAAATCACAAAGATATCTGAAAAAGTTATCTGAAAAAGTTATGACACCTACGTTTTGCAGTCATTACTTGTACAGCAGTAATTCCAAAAGTTATATACTATACCATGTACCATCAAACGCAATCACGTGATTTCATATAACCGACGTTGGTATCAAATTTTAAAAACATCGTTTTATCAAGCAATTCATTGTGAAAGTTTATAGCAACATTTACTGATCATTTTACAAAATTAAAGCAAAGAAATTTAAAAAGCTGGACACGTGATCGCAGTTAAATATGAATAAAATTTTCCAGATATTAAAGTTTTTATGAAAGAATTGATGGAAAAATACTATCTGCTATATTAGAAAATTAAAAAAGAGGCAACTCTTAATAGAATTAAACTTAAATTGAGAATACTATTTCGATTAAGCGCAAAAAATTTAAAAAAATAAGTAAAATTTTGTAACTTTTTAACGTAAATTACCGCCTTATTGGACTTCTTTCTTATGGACTGAATTGTAAGTATTTTCACTTTTCGAATTTTGTATTATTTGTATTTACTTTATACAGAAAAGAAATTCCTTCTTGATGCGTGGATTTTCAGGTATCCACGATATATTTGAGTGCAGATAACGCATTTGTAAAAATTTAATTCAACCGGCAAGATTGATTTTTTATATTCATGACATAATAATCATATTTTAGTACCGTACCAAATTCAATTAAAATATGGAATTTACGTTTTCTCAGAATCCTCACATGGCATAAATTAATGGATATAGAAGCAGCGTTATTAATAATAACATAACGTGACCAAGTAGCTACCCTATAAAAAATTTTTCAGAAAAATGATCATGTGTCTGAGTTTCTTCGGTTTTTTAGTTTTTTCCAGAATTTTTTTTATAGGGTTATTTGACCGTAATTTATGCTCGCATTAGTTAATTCCTAAATAGCCATTTAATTAAATTAACGTCAGTATTATCACGCGGAAAGGAATAAGTTGTATCATTATTATAAATTTTTTTTCACGTTCGTTCTTAACTGCGAAGTTTGTCATAATAGAATTCATTAGCTACAATAAAAAATTTATTTAAAATTGCTTATATTATTGTTAAATAAGTTGCAATTGATTATTAAATAAGATTAATTTAATAAATATTAATTTGACAAAATATATTAGTATCAAGAATCATTTATAATTAATTATTAAGACTTATTCATTCAACTTTTTATGCCGAAGAATTAGATATTATTTCCCCTTGTTCACATAATGATTCAAAACTTTTTTGTGCATTAGTAACCTTAGTTTCGGCAGCTATCTTGTATAAATCAAATGCTTTCCCTTTATCAATATTAGTTCCAATTCCATGCTCGTAACAGTATCCAAGTTTACATTGAGCTACTATTAACTTTTGGTTAGCTGACTTCTCATAAAAATGAAATGCTCTATAATCATTTTTTTGAATCCCCCTTCCTAATTCATATATTTCACCTAGTTTATATAATGCGACTTTATTATCATTTCCTGATGCTTTACAATACCAATAATGAACTATATCTAAATCATCATTTATTGGTCTATCATCATCACTTTTATAAAAGAAGTCGTCATCTTTATTAGCCGCTCTGTTATATAATTTTAATCCTTTTTCTTTATTTACCTCTATTCCGATCCCATTTATGTAAAAATATCCAAGTTGAAAATTTGCTTTTACGTATCCATTTTCAACTGATTTATTATAAAAGTAAAATGCTCTATGATAATTCTTTTCAATACCAATCCCGTACTCAAAGCACTCACCTAAGTTGTATTGTGCAACTTCGTTTCCATTTTCTGCTGCTTTTGTAAACCAATAAATAGCTTTCTCTAAATCTTTTTTGGTTCCTTCACCTTTCAAATATAATATTCCAAGATTATTTTGAGCGAAACTATGTTCTTTATCAGCTGCTATTTGGTATAATATAAATGCTTTTTCTTTATTAACATTAGTTCCAATTCCTTTATCAAAACAATATGCAGCTTTATATTGTGCATTTACATACCCTTGTTTGGCCGATTCTTTATAAAATTTAAATGCTTTAACTTCATTTTTTTCAGCAATTGTCCCATATTCATAAGAATCACCCAAGTTATATTGCGCTACTTCGCTCCCATTCTCTGCTGCTTTTGTATACCAATAAATGGCTTTCTTTAAATCTTTTTTGATTCCTTCACCTTTCAAATATAATACTCCAAGATTATTTTGAGCAAAACTATGTTCTTTATCAGCTGCCATTTGGTATAATATAAATGCTTTTTCTTTATTAATATTAGTTCCAATTCCTTTATCAAAGCAATATGCAACTTTATATTGTGCATCTAGATATCCTTTTTTAGCCGATTCCTTATAAAATTTAAATGCCTTAAATTTATTTATTTCACCATTTATTCCATATTCATAAATTATACCTAAGTTATATTGTGCGATTTCACTTCCATTTTCTGCTGCTTTATCATACCAAAAAAAGGCTTTTTCTTTATTAACATTAGTTCCGATTCCATTATCATAAAAATATGCAATTTTATACTGTGCATTTAAATATCCTTGCCTAGCCGATTTCTTATATAACTCAAACGCTTTGATTTCATCTTTTTCGGTACTAATTCCATGTTCGTAAAACATACCTAAATTATATTGTGCTATTTCATTTCCATTTTTCGCTGCTACATTATACCAATAAAAAGCTTCTTCTTTATTAATATAAATTCCAATTCCTTTATCATAACAATATGCAACTTTATATTGTGCATTTGAATAACTTTGTATAGCTGATTTCATATATAACTCAAATGCTTTAACTTCATCCTTTTTAATATGTACTCCATACTCATAAAATATACCTAGATTGTATTGTGCTATTTCATTTCCATTGTTTGCTGCTTTATTATACCAAAAAAAAGCCTTTTCTTTATTAATATTAGTTCCAATTCCTTCATCATAACAGTGCGCAACTCTATATTGTGCATTTAAGTACTCATGTTCAGCTGATTTTTCATATAATTTAAATGCTTTAACTTCATCTTTTTCAACATTTGTTCCATGCTCATAAAATATGCCTAAATTATATTGTGCTATTTCATTTCCACTGTCTGCCGCTTTATTATACCAATAAAATGCTATTTCTAAATTCTTCTCGGTTTCCTCATCTTTTTCGCATATAATTCCAAATTTATCTTGTGCAAATTTATTTTCTTTTTCAGCTATTTCTTTAAATAATTCAAATGCCCTTTCTTTATTAACCGTGGTTCCAATTCCTTCATTATAATAGTATGCAATTTTATATTGTGCATTCAAATAACCTCGTTCGGCTGATTTCTTATAAAATTCAAATGCTTTAACTTCATCCTTTTTAATACCTATTCCACTTTCATAATATTTGCCCAAATTATATTGTGCTATTTCGTTTCCATTTTCTGCTGCTTTATTATACCAATAAATTGCTTCGTTCAGATCTTTTTCAATTCCTTCACCTTTTAAATACAAAATTCCAAGATTATTTTGCGCATAACTATGTTCTTTTTCTGCTGCTTTTTTGTATAATATGAACGCTTTTTCTTTATTAGTATCAACTCCAATTCCTTTATCATAGCAATATGCAACTCTATATTGTGCATTTAGATATCCCTGTTTGGCTGATTTTTCATATAATTCAAATGCTTTGATTTCATCTTTTTTATCTTTTGTAACATTTATTCCATATTCATAAAATATGCCTAAATTATATTGCGCTATTTCATTTCCATTTTCCGCTGCTTTATCATACCAAAAAAAGGCTTTTTCTTTATTAATATTAACTCCGGGAATTCCATTATCGTAATAGTATGCAACTTTATATTGTGCGTTTAAATATCCCTGTTTAGCTGATTTCTTATATAATTCAAATGCTTCATACTCATCCTTTTCAACATGTATTCCATATTCATAAAATATACCTAAGTTATATTGTGCTAAATCATGTCCATTTTCTGCTGCTTCATTATACCAAAAAAAAGCCTTTTCTTTATTAACATTTGTTCCAACTCCATTATCATAACAATACGCTACTCTATATTGTGCATTTATATACCCTTGAATAGCTAATTCCTTATATAATCCAAATGCCTTAACTTCATCTTTTTCAACAATAATTCCATTCTCATAATATCTACCCAAATTATATTGTGCCGCTCTATTTTTATTGTTGGCTGCTTTATTATACCAAAAAAAAGCTCTCTCTAAGTCCTTTTGAATACCTTCACCTCTTTCATATAAAATCCCAAGATTATTTTGCGCAAATTCATTTCCTTTTTCAGCTACCTCATAAAACAATTTAAATGCTTTTTCTTTATCAACCTTTGTTCCAATTCCATTATTATAAAAATACGCAATTTTATATCTTGCATCTAGGTATCCATGCTCAGCTGATCTCTTATAAAGTTCGAATGCTTTAGTTTCATCTTTTTCAATAAAAATTCCATTTTCATAATATCTAGCCAAATTATACTGTGCCGCCTTATTTTCATTTTTGGCTGCTTCACTATACCAATGAAATGATTTATTTACATCATTTTCGATACCAATACCATATTCATAACAATATCCTAAATAGTATTTTCCAATAATACTCTCATTTTCTACGGATTTTTGAAACCATTTAAATGTCAAATATCTATTTTTCTCTATTCCGGTACCATCATCATAGCATTTAGCAAGATAAACTTGAGCTAATGAGTAATTATCCTCTGATGCCTTTAAAAATAATTGAAATGCTTTGCTAAAATGTTGTTGTTCTGTATTAAAATTATAATAATACAATAATCCTAAAAACCAAATATATTGTACCTTAACTTGGTTCATAATAAGCCATTTTATGAGTTCATCAACATATTGATTTAATTGCAATATTTCTTGATCAATAAATTGTTTGAATTCATCAATGACAATATCCCCGCTGTGTCTTTCAATGATGATATCCATTAACTTATTATAATCAACATTATGATTTAATTGCAGTATTTCCAATATTTCTTGATCAATTAATTGTTTGAAGTTTTCCTCAAAGTTTTTACCTCCAATGCGTCTTAACTCATCAATATCAACATAATGATTTGATCGTAGTATTTCCAGTATTTCTTGTATTTCTTGATCAATTAATTGTTTGAATTGATCGTTAATAATTTCTACATTATTTCTTTCAATAACGGCATTAATTAACTTATCGACAGCTACATCATTTATATCAGGTACGCTCGTATCATTAGATTCTATAATGGTACTATAAACAATATTGTCTATAACTAGGCTATTATTTATATCTGAAGTTAATTTGCTGCTTGAATTAGAATCATATGCTGGTAAAATGCCATGACTTTCCTTCATACTGTTCATAAAGATATTATTTCCTGTTGAATTAATTGCCCTAAGACCCGAAACAATTTCTTGTATATCAGGTCGATTGTCTGGTTCTCCCTCCCAACATTCTAATTTAAATAAGTATTTGGTTTATAATTTCTTTAGAAAAGACGCTAAATATATCATAATAATTTAACGAATAACTTACTTGTATATATATTAATATACTCAATAGGCGTACCGTCAATAATTTCCTCTCTTTTTCCTCCCTTTATAGCTAATGCTAAACTCAAATCATAATTTACAGCTTCATCATAAAATGGTTTACGTCCACTTGAAATTTGCCACATAATAACTCCAATACTATATATATCGGATTTTTTATTTAATTTATAATGTTGACTTTGATTATTTTGATTATTAAAGCTTTTTGGATCAACGTAAGGTATAACACCAAATATTTCCACTGTGTTATTTGATGCTTCAGCAATCTTTTTTGATAATCCAAAATCTGCCAACTTGATTCTTTTCTGATGAACAAGTATATTACTTGCATGCTACAAAAAAAAAAAAGTTTATTTTATACTATTTATACTATATAGAAATAAATATTAATAAAAAACAAATCTAAAATATATTACCAAATCTCGATGAATAATATCACATTCATGTAAACACAACACAGCATTTGCCAATTGTAATGCAAAATCAAATTTATTATTCCATTCAAGTTCATTAAAATGTTCATCTAGGTATGTCTTTAATGTCCCATTATCAGCATATTCCAAAACCAAAGAGTAATTATTCATTTGATTAATTGCGTCTGAAATCAAATATATATATATTTTTAATAGTTGGATTATTTTAAATAGATAAAACGATTTCATCTCTCTTTTTTTTACCAGTTTGCTCCTTAAATGTAACTCCATAAAATTTTATTATATTTGCATGAAAATGAACATGCCGATGTAATTTTAACTGCAAATACAATAAATGGATAATTAAGACATGAAACACAATTAAAAAGCTTAAAAATTATATATATGCATACATATTATATTAATAAAAATAATAATATACCTCATTAACAATTTCTTTAAGAGTTGATCTCTGATTATAAAAAGATTTTAGAGCGAAAATCGTATCAATATTCTTCCAATTGGTACGACAAATGCTTCCAGACGCACCACTTCCTATTGGTTTTATATCATGGAAATCTTTATAATCATAATATTTTATATGTTCATTTACAATTGATTTTTCTAACCAATCAATATATTTACTATTTAAATCTACCATTTTTTTTAATAGAATTTTGAAGGAAGAAAAAGTAACCCGATCATTGAATCTTTTTAAACTAGATAATCACTATAAATCGCGATATAACCCATTTATGCAATACAAGACTTGGGATGTATAAATAAATGGAGATCCATGCTGATCACACAGCAATAAAATTCTTCACACTTTTCAGTGTACTCACATACTGTTGTTTGGCATTTACATGTCACAAGAGAAACTTACTTGCACATGATATCAATATTTGATAGTGGAAATTCCTAAAGGACGCTATCATGGCAAAAGAGAGGAGGACTGGAGGAAAGTGTGTTTATGGGTAGACTTTTGGGATCATCACAGATGCAAAAGAATGGTATTTTATGGAATGTTCGCTTAACAATCAGGACAGGCTAAGATTCAAACTATCGAAGCCTGTAATTGTTGTATATGATAATGAAAACATGGGAGGTAAGTTCTCGGACATATTGCATGGTTATTGGAGGAGGTACAGCTTCTCAAAGTAAAGAGAGAGTAATAAAAAAGCCTAGGTTATCAAGCAACCTTACCGGAAAGTCAGATAAATAAGTTTTAGCATAGAAAAAAATCGTCATGTATCACGGGCTAAGTCCCGATCTTGTATTTATTTTCGCATGTATTAATAAAATTTTTTCTTGGCAAATTTCGCTTACGGGCCGTGAGGAAAATCACATGATATTTTTTATTTTGAATGTTTGAACATTGCTAAGATTACTGGACTTGGATCACCTTTTTGCCGTGCAAAAATATAGACGTCATCTATACTGCAGAAGCTTTTTGTTTTTAAAAGGATCTATTAATAAACCTGACCAAGAGTAATAAGTATTTTCCCCTGATTTACACAGCTTTGCGGATCGTAAGATAGGGCATCGTTAAAATGAAACAAAAATGGAAATTGGACGATTAGAATTTATGATTTACAGATCCTTAGATGAAACAGTAAATTTTTATCAACTAGCCCATTCAAATTACATGTACAAGCTAATCACATACAGTATTATCACTATCTTTGGAATAATGTTTTATTTCCGTTGATCAACTTGTACAAAACACGAATAGTATTAAAATTAAAATAAAAGCTTTGTCTTTTTGAGAACATCAATTCAGTTCTTTTTCCTCCGGCTCTTTTTCCTCCGGTTCATTTTTTAAAGTGAATATCACATTAAATCTTTCTTTAACATCATCCAAAATCAAATGAATCGGGATTACATAAGATACTCTACGCATTCCCGCAATAACGATCCCCCATAATTTACCATCATCATCAAATACTGCTGCACCGGAGTCCCCACGTTCAGCTGTAAATAGATTAAAATATGAATAAGGAAAACAAAATAGAATGCTAATATGAAATCCGTCAACTTACAAAATGTTTGTTTATTAATACCAAAAACTAGCAATGCAAATCTCTGACTTCTTTCTTTAGGTTCTTTTCTACCCTTCCTTTTGACAATAGGAGGATAAAAAGGCACCCACATATCTTGTATTAACCCTTCTCTGAGGAAAGTTGTTCTTCCAACCTTCTTAACATATACAAATTCATCACTATTATTTACAGAAGTCTTGATACTACGAATTTGAATATGTTGTCCAAATGGAACGTTTGGTGATTCTGGGATTTCTCGGTCCTTCACAACTTCACAAAAAGCATAATCAAGATAATGACAAGCCGAATCAGCTCCAATAAAATTGTACCTTGTGGCCTTAGTTGCGTTAACCTTATAATTAAAACTGTCAACAAAAAATATTAATAGTAAAAAAATCACAACATATCAAACCTCATCGAGTGTTTCCGGTTGAACCACTTTTTCATCCTCCTTTCCCACGCTATGCTTTGCAGTTAATATAAATGTTTTATTGGATACTGCAGTATTTTGAAATAAAGCACCAAGTGTAATTGCATTTAATGATTCATCTTGTTTACCGATACTTATGCCAGGTATAAGGTCTTTGTGATATGAACGATGGAATAATTCAAGAGCTTCATATGAAATCAACACAGGAAAACTCTCAAATTCAGCTGGTAAGTGGACAGGTGTCCCTTCTGGTTGATCCACGAAGGCAACAAGAACTTCCTTATCATCTACTAATGCTTCAATTACACAAAAAAATGGAATTTTCTTATCATATCTCTTCAGAAGCTCATTTTTAGCCTTATTAAGCAATTTAAATCGAATAGAGTCTCTGACTGGGAAAATAACACGGTCACCAAGCTTCACCGGATCCATATTTATCTTTTTTTTGTTTTCCGCTTCCTCTTTTTCTTCTTTTTCTATGTCTATTATTATATATTAGAAGATAATTCTGATTCGTTAATATTTCAAATATTCTAACGTACTAACCTGTCGGATTTATTTTGTTTTTAACATATTGTTTTCTTAATTCAGTAATGCTTCCTTTATTCACATCCTTATCTATGATGAAAAACCAATTATAGGCACTTCCAGTAGCCCGTTTGATGTTTTTAAAACGATCATTCGATTTGAGAATATACAGTTCGAGCTCAGTTAAACTATCAAATGACATTAACATTTCCTTATTGTCGGCAAAAGTAAAAATGACCGAGAGTTTCCTAATATTGTAAATATCTTTAATCTGATCCAAAAAAATTATGTTCAGCCAAATATAGAAAGAACTTGTTATAACGTTTTATAATAAGAGTGCAAACCTTGCATTTGTGTGCAAATTCTACATCTTTGTAAGTTCTATTGTAAAACAATATATTTCCTTGTTTGATAGATTGTTCGTTATAAAGCTGTTGTAGAGATATGTTTGTGTAATCTTCAAAAGCCACAGCTACAGAAATAATGATTTTATTGAACTTTATAATATATCTCGCTTGAATTACAACTATATGATTAAAAAGCGGTCAGCTAGACCTACCTTGACTCAATATCGTTAGACTATCCAGCATTCGTAAAATGGTTAAATATGGAACGAAGACAATGACATGAACAAACTCTTTAGGAGGTTGCTCCGTCCAGTAATCACCAATAATTCCTTCAAGCTTTTTTAAATTCTTGCTATCTGAGGTAAAGCTCGAAAATTCTTTTTCTTCACTATAGTCAACCCGTACCTGCCAAAGCGTTAACTGATCGGCCTCAATATCGTTGAAAATATCCTCCTCTGCCCCTGTACTTTTCTCTTTAATATCCTTTTTAAATTTTTCGACAGAATTTTCTGTGTTGGTAATAAGAGTAAATTCATAATTTTCATAACCTTCTTGAATGTGAAGACAGTTAAGAGAAATGTCAACCATAGCAATTGATTTTTGTGCCTAGACACGAACGAAAAAAAGGTAACAATTTGAAAAGGGAGTAATTGTCCGAGGACATTAACGGTTAGACACATTGTATGTCTGTCCGCACGCGTGATTAACCAATAAGATGTATTGTTGATTATTATCACGTGATCAGATTATCAGATTTTCGGCGCGCCTGACGCGGATTTTAAACGAGTGCTTCGGACATTACAACGGATCCCGTTACCTAGTCATTACTAATAAACGTTACTAATAAACGATAAGACGGTGATACAGAAAATGATTGGACTGATTCAGATAGCCCAAAATTTATTGGTCGATGAACATATTTCATATTAATGTCAACTGACTGAAAAAATGCGTACGTTCATTTCTCCTCACATGGTGGTGAACTATAAAACCTATTCTTTTTTGAAAGATCTTGAATGAGAACTTGTATAGGAGGATAATAATGGAGGGATGTTTAAGCGCATGAAGAACTAATACTTATCACAATAGAAAGAACAAATCGGAGTAGTTTATGCGCAGTATAAAGACGTCATTGAAATTATTTAGCTAGTAGATCCTGCTTCTATTGGTTGGGAGTGAGAAAAGTCTTTTAATGATGCAAAAATATCGATCTTGATAGGTCAGAGGTATACTTCTTGATAGAGATCGCTGTGAAACCTAAATATGCATGTTTCTTGATAGGTTAAAACGTAACACAGAATTTTAGTATACTTCTTGATAGATTAAAACGTACACGACTTTTTTAATAAAAATTTCTCATAAATTATAATTATGAAAATTTTTTTTTTATCAAAGCAAACTTTATTTATTTATATTTCCTACTTTACATTTTTATTATAAATTTATAATAAGCAGGTACTTTGTTAAATCGAGGGTACTTAGTTTTGAAATTAGTACTAAAGTAAAGAAGCTATATCGGATATGATTTTATTATGAAAAGTAAAAAGTATCAATTCGTAGAATTATCAAAATAAGGTTGTGTATTTGAATGATAAGAATAAGGATAAGCATTTTCATTTGTGCTGCTAGTATGAACATATAGAAGGGTTATTAATCAAAACTGGGCATGCAAAAGTATGAGATGAGGAAGGGTATGTAGCAGAATTGTAATCTAAATGAGGGAGCGCATTTTGTTGATAAGTTGAAGGAAAATATGAATTAAAAATTGAAGGAAAATGTGAAGTTGGAAGAAATATGTATTATGTGTATTAGAGAAATGAGTTGTTGAGTTATAAATTGAAGGATAATGTGTGGTTGAATATGTAGGAGGATTAGTAAAAGGAATCATTGAAAAGTTAGAAATATTCAAATCCAGTTCATTTGAGGCGTTTACTTTCTGCTATTAAATAATAAAACTTTGTTTATTACATTAAACCAAATTAAAATTAATTAACAAATAAGCAAATGATATTTACACTTTTGTTACCACGTTTGGCTTTACGAATCTGATCAGTTTTTCGTTTTTGAATAGATGGCGTATTCAAATTTAATGCTGTATTATTTTCTCGAAGTATTTTACTTGGTTTGCGGGGTTTTGCAGCAGATTTTGGAGGAGCTCCTGGTAAAGAATTCAAATTTATTTGTTGCAATTCACTTGGACGAAAAGGATCAATTATAACTTTATATTCTTGATCAATTATATTATAAAAAATCACATTTCCTATAAAGTAATGATAAAGAAATATGTAATTATTAAAATAATGATTTTTAAACACTAAAACATTTGCATACCCTTTTCATTATATTCTTTAACAATTTCTAAAAAAGCCACTTCAGTACTAAATGTTGTAATTCTTAAGTTCTGGTGGTAAAATTCTCTGATTGTTTTTAAAATATGCTATTAGTTTTTCTTTCGTATCTTTTATTATATCATCACCATAACCCTGAAGTGATGTTGCATAAATTCTTGCAGTATGGCAATGCTTGCACACATCACGAAATGATCCATTCCAGATAAAATCAAAACAATTAAGACATTCTCCAGTTAAAATATTTGTAATATAATAACCATGATGCTCTCGAACATTATGATTATTAATTAATTGCTTAAATAATGGATCTAATTTTTCCATAATAATATTCTCAGAATTTAGTGGTTGATGATCATATGGTGAATACACTACATCGTTATTTGAACCTTTCTTTACATAATAGTGATTATCATGATCGGATATCTCTACCATGCCTAATAAAAAGTACAATCTACTAAAATTTAGTCTTCTAAGCATGTCTTGTGTCATTTTTGCAGTAAGATCTCACTATTAGTTTTTAAATAAATAAAAAATAAAAGTATAACCAACCTGTTCTATAGATTGTGCATTGAAAGTTGTAATTAGCCCTGCTTCATAAATTACTCTACCAGTGTTTTGTTCCATGATATTTTCGCGCATTAAGGTTACTCCATATAAGCGTTCAACAAATGTTAATACTGATTGTTTACCAGAGTAGTATGTAGCTTCAATAGTCTGATTAATTCTCTTTGTATAATTGTTTGTGGTTCGTTATTAACTGGTAATCTGCCAGCATTAATAAATTGCATACACCATTCCTCACACATCCAATTATTTCTAACATCATTTTTAATTTTTTTCTTTTTTTTCATTATTCATCTCTAAGCTATCAATAAATGCATTAAACAAATTTGTCATAGACATTGCATTTTCCTTTGAACAACATGAGTGTCAACATCTTCCTATTAATTTAAATCCAAGTGCAATAGGATAACTATAACAAAATAATATTTACATTATTAAAATCATTAATTAAATTAATTAAATTAAATAAATTAATCATACCATAAAGATTGATTAATGTTCCAATTTTTAAGATTTTCACCAAAATTCTGCATTATATGGAACTAACAAAGTATAGTTCCAGACAATAAACCATCAACATCCAATTTAGATGGTTTATGTTTATCAATCATAGCAATGGAGCTCCATGAACTTATATTGAACAAGGTGTAATTCTTTTAAAGCCAGTATTATCTGGCAAATCTTCATAATACCAAGCATGATTACAATTAACTTGATTACATGGTATATTATTTTTTAATGATGAAATTGCCAACCTAATTGTATAATTATTTTTTTTATTATTCATAAAAAAATTGATATTCAATAACGGATCAATTTTCTAACAAGCTATAGTAAAAATGATTCGATAAACCAGATCACGTGATCATTAACCAATAAAATTTAAGTAACGTAATGCGGTAAATCTTAATTTTGGCCAGAATTATAAAAATCTTAATTCCGTCCAAAGTTATATATTACTTATATAAAATATAATGTATATTAATTTTATTAGCATGAATTCTTTAAAAAAATTCAATATAATAGATTTCCAATATATCAAAAATTTTTCGCTATACTGGATATTCCGATAAACCAAATATTTTTAGTGAAACTGATAAATCCAGTTTATCAAATTTTACTGTATAATTATTTAAAAAAAAAGTAAAAAAGTTCCTATTTAAAATAAGTTCAAAATTAATCAATAGTTACAAATATATATATTATTTTTTAACAAAAAAAAAATTTTAAAAAAATAACTAATTTATTCCACCTTTAAAATTCTTTTTTACATATTTATTTTTTTAATTTTATGTGTTTTATGTAATAAAATTGTATGTATCTGTATAATGAAATTTTACATGTCTGTGTAATAAAATTTTATGTATTTATATAATGAAACTGTACATGTCTGTATAATAAAATTTTACGTGTTTATGTAATAAAATTTTACATGTTTGTGTAATGAAATTTTACATGTCTGTGTAGCAAATGTATCATTCTTATACGATCAGATGCTATGTTCTTATATAACATGATATATGTTATATAATATAGGTCATATACATTTGCATTTATGTAATAAACTTATACTAAAAATAGTATAATAAATTTTACATATTTGTGTAATGAAATTTTATGTGTCTATGTAATAAACTTATGCTAAAAATAATATAATAAATTTTACATGTTTATGTAATGAAATTTTACGTATCTGTACAATAAACTTTATGTTAAAAATAGTATATACTAATAAATTTTACAAAATCATATTATCATAAATTTTACCTTATAATTACAAATTACATTTTAAAATCCTATTTAATTTTACCATATACTTAATAATTACATAAAAAAAACTTATCATAAAATTACATTTGCTTTTTTAATTTATAAAGAATTTTACCTTATAAATTCAACCAGTTTTTTTGATTTTTCTATGTAATTTTTACCTTAGGCTTTGTGGGTGACCTCTATTGGAAGTAAGCGTCTATTGAATTTAAGGAATTTATTAAGCAAAAATTGCTTGCAAATTCTGGAATAATAAAAAAAAACTATCAGCATAAAAACTGCAACATGATAGTTAAATATTCTTATTTATACCTTTCAATCACAAAAGTAAAGTAAAAAGATTAATTAACACATTATATACAAAAAAATAACCTTATTATTTAAATATTAAGATGTTTATTAGCAGATCGAATACAAAAGGCAATTCCAATGGTAAAAAAATCAATGGATACCTTTATAAAGAAATACATATATGAGGATTGGATCCCAATAAAGAAGAAGTTTGATAAGGTTACATTATACATAAGCAAAAAATTACTGGAGTAATATTTTTTTTTAATAAAAAAAAAAAAAAAAAAAAAAATATTAAGATATTTATTATGATGATCATAAACATCCTGATGTTGCTGAATATTAAAAATTCTAATCTATAATTATAAAAAGTATATGGCAAAATATAAAGGTAAAACTATAGAACAAATATCACTAATACTTGAATCTGATAATAAAGAGATAATCCTTAATAATGAAAAATGGAATGTATAGACAAAATCAGAAGAATTACCATTATGCAAAAAAGAAAATGAATGTTTAATAATGGTTAGTAAATTTTTGTTAAAGGAATGTAGATGATTTAAATTAAATATACAATAGCATTAAGAAAATCCTTTTATACCTAGTAGTAAAGAAGTATTCTGATAAAGGTACTTTACAGAAACTTAATATTTTTAATTAATATAGAATTGATATTATTAAATTTATCTTAACTGTATTATTTTGATATTATTTTGATATTATTTCAATATTAATTTAATATTAATGTGATATCAAAATAAAGTATTATTATTTTGATATTATATTGATATTAAATTAATATTAAAATGATATCAAAATGATAATTAAAATGACATCAAAATGACATCTTATTTCAATGTCATTTCTATTATCATTTTGATATCATTTTGATACTATTTCGATATTATTTTAATATTAAAATAATAATATTTTATTTTGATATCGCATTGATATTAAATTGATATTGAATCAATATCAAAATGATATTAATGTAAAGTAGAGTCTGATCATTCATTCAATCTGTTATTTTATCTAATTACGTGATATTAATCATGGGTATGCAGATTATTTTCTTTTTAAGTGATACTATTCTACAAAAAATATTTTTTCTAAAAATTAATCTCACCAATTTTGGAAATTCATGTAATATTAGACCTAAAAAGAAAATGATCTGCATAAATCATGTGATTTGACCAGATGACCGGATTTACATTTTTCATTAGAGTCTACTTCTATGCATACATATATCTCCAACTAGGCAAAAATCATGAAGAATATTGGACAAGTGAATACCTAATTAATAAAACCCTTTTTTCCAATCCCAATTGTATTGCATTATTTGCATTTAATAATAGCTCAAATCATGCAGCATTTAAACCTAATGCTCTTGTAGTACAGTCAACTCTCTTTATAGTCACACATTTGGGACAGTCCATATTTGGTGATTATAAAGAGATGTGACTATATAAAAAATTTCTTATATTTGTATATCATAATTCTGGCCAAAAATTAACATAATTTTAGTCAGAATTATAC